CAGTTAGATTCATCCCTCCCATCTAGTGTATCCAAAATATAAATTATTAGATTTTTCTACAATAAAAAATGAGAAATATTCTAAGACTAAATGCCAAATTAATACATACAAATTAAAACTAGTATCGGGCCTTAACAAAAAATTACAAAAAATTATTTCCTTCTCGATACATTTCAACTCAATCATTAATCAAAGCAGAAGTTAATATTCTTTTAAAAATCGAAAGTCTTTTGTAATTGATTCTAGATTAAAATTTTAGGTAATTTCTTTTACAATATACACAAACAAATACTCTGTGAGAAAATCATCCTCTATTTTGTTTCAAAACTTATTTTTAACAATATTCATATGGGTGAGCTTTTTTTTTCCTTAGTGCAGCGAATTGGTTGTTTCTACCTTAATATAATATAATATCAATATATAAAATGAGGATAGAGGCGAAATGAAGTAAATTGGTCTTATTTTTGGTAAATAGTTTTGAGGGAGGGATCATGTGATATATATCAGAAATTATGTTAGTTAGTGTAATAATGTATTAAAGACTTCTTGTCAAAGCTGCGGCGCCATGGCCCCATATTGTCTTAGTGTAGGTTCGTCACTGAAAGAGGAGAGAGACTGGAGGAGCAGGTATGTGTTAAAGAACTAAAAAATCTAAGAGACTCGTGATTAGATCAAATTTAATTGTGTCAATTCCCAACCAATTAAAATTAATAATCTAAATCATCAAGCACGTACGAAAGTGATTTAGATTGTTGTTTCAGAAACACTAAGTAGACACAAATGATTTTTACATGGAAAAAATCACTATTGGAGCACCTCTAATTGTGATTAAAAAACCACGGGCGAAACGCCACAAATCAATCCACTACTGAAGAAAGAAATATTACAACTATACCAAACAAATTACCCAAATGTTGTCAATTTTTCTTCAACAATCTATATATCTTTCACCACAACCTTCGTCTCGGAATTAATCAGATTGATGTTGAATCTACAACATCCATTGTTGAATCAACAACTGCACATAGCATCAAACTCTTTCGATTACTCTGCGCTTGAATCTTCGGATTCCACCAAAGACAAACACTCTTAAAGATGAACAAACAAACTCTTTGATGTGTGCTTATCAAAACATAAGTTTAATACTCAATCAAACCTCAAGGAAAACTAGCAAAACAGTCCCAAAAGAAAACCCTAAAACCCTTAAAGAAGATCTCAAAAACATACCCTAGATTTGGAGCAACTTGAAGTTTTATAGCTGCTGAAATCGCGAAGTCCACTCAAGCATAGGAATGGACGCTCGAGTAGGGACACTAATACGCATGTTCCAAACCAGGGTTTATGCTCGAGCGTAAGAATTTATGCTCAAGTGTAAAATCACACCACGCAGTATTTTTTTCAAACAAGCCAAAGTACTGCGATAGTCACTACTAGAAAAGTGGTTTTTTGCGACTAGCTTTTTGTGACGAATTATTTTACCGTCGCAAAAAAATAATATTTGCCACCGCAGGTTTTTTTCTTTTACTATTTATTTTGCATTTTTCTTATTCCTATGCCCTAATCCTTTTCACTGTGACTTTCTCGACAATTCACAAACAGAGATCTCTGTCACTTTCGCTCACCATGGTCGCGCTCTCTCTCTCTCTCTCTCTAAGATTGTGATGAGAAGCAACAGACAACAACGCCGGAGCTACTAGGGTTTGATGATCAGAAACCAGTAGAGATCATCCGCATTCAGACCTCGAGACGCCAGCCCCGATTCTGTTATCTTCACCGTCGAATCCAACTTTAACATCTTCACCACAGCTCACTTTTGAGATTAAACAAGGAAATGGCATTACGAACTCTCTCGACCTCTCAATCTCGTTCTATATCTCTCTTTGTCTCTGTTAATCTTGCTTTCTCTCTCTGTTTCTCAATCTCCTGCTCTCTCTTTATGGTTCTTTTGAAATCTATATTTTTCATTCATTATCGCTCAGATTGCCCCTTGGATTGTCCAAAATGATCTCTCTAGGGCAACACAAAATCAACATTTTTAGGTATTTCTTTCGATTAATCTCTGGCATGTTTTTTCCCCCTCCCCCCTCGCTCTCTCGCTCTCTTTCTCTATATATATATATATATTCTTTGTATTTTGCAACAATTTATGCACATATATTTATTGAAATTGAAATTATTAATTTTCTGTGCGTAATGGAGTTTGATCCATTGGTGATTTAAGCATAATTCTGTGTTTTCTACACTAATGTGTTACAATTAGTAATCATATACTTTAATTTAATTTTGTTCAATTTTAATGAAATAAGAAATTCTTAGCCTACTTGAGATCGTTCTGGTAGATGCTTAGTTCACATTTTTTTTGTTTTGTTTTGTTTTGCTGGGAATTTGGAGCAACATTATTTGGATTTTTTTTATTTTAATTTAATTTTGTTTACCTGTTTGTTGCTTTTATGTTATACTTCCAATTTTATTATGTCTCTCTTTTCTTTTACAATTTTGTTCTTTTTGTTTATAATAGTAAAGTTCAATTGTGTTTCTGTTTGGTGGTGATGAGATAAGTTGAAGCTCTGTTTGTTTGGATTGCGATTAATTTTGAAATTCCATAGCAGAGAGGATGTAATTGTGGTTCCAATTGTGTTCTTGAATAACATGTCACTATGTTCTGAATTTTGTAGGAAACATTTTTGTGTGCTATTTTTTTCTTAGTATCTACCAGTTTAGTTGGAATTTTTGGGAAAATGATTATTCCCTTGGCAATAAATTAATCCTTCAATATACTTAACTAAAAAATAAATATATACTAAGCCTTTGGGCATTTTTGAATGAGGCAATCAAATTGATACAACATGCTCTCATTAGATTTGAAAATGTTAATTTAACACGGGCGGCACAAGTTCCATTTGGCATCAGGCACTTCCGTTATATGATGACTTTGAGAGGCCTTTGAATCTTCATTTTACTTATACTGTTATCTCTTTAACTAGGCCTTAATGCTATGATTTCCTGATTTTTTTTTTAGTGAATAAGCTATCTGTGTTGGAAGAATTGGTAGATTGTTTGTGATTCATCTTAAGCATGTACACTTTCTTCTCTTTGCAGCTAACAGTACATGAAAATTTGTTATATATATATATATATATATATCTGTGTTCATTCATTGCTAAGTAACTTTGATTTATACTGAGATTCACATATCTTTCTGATCTACTTTTAAGTTTTGTCTATATATCTTTACTGTAAGTTCAATAGTCATGATCGGTGATAGATTTATGTGGTTTTGCATGTATAGTAATTGGATCAGCATGTGCTCTGTTTTAATACCTGTTGAAAATTTTCGTCTGTTTTAATACCTGCTGAAAATTTGATTGAATTTTTTGCTATGTTAAATTAAATCTAAGATTTGGACTTTTGAATTGGTCATGCTAACAAAAAGAAACTATATTTATTTGTTATTTATTTTAAATTTTCGATCATTTGATCAAATTATTCTAAAACCGAACTAATTGGTACATATATATGTACTAGATCTGGTGCAATGCATGTTAAACAAATCGAACAAATTGTACTTTGGTATTCAAAACCGTTCTCTCGTGTAACTTTGTTTTCTGAATTGATTCAAACATTCTAATTTGCTATATTTTCTATTAAAGACGCTTCTTGATTGATAGTTTGATTTGAATTTCTAGTGTGTTATGTTTGTCTTTGTATTGCTGTTTGTTATCTGCTCCATGAATTACTTGCTATTGATATCTTTCTTGTTTTTGAATTTTTTTTGTTAAAGACGCTTCTTGCTGTTTGTAATTGAATTTGCTATTGATATCTTTCTAATTACTTGCTATTGATATCTTTCTAATTTGCTATATTTTCTTGTTAAAGACGCTTCTTGCTGTTTGTAATTGGATTTGTACATACATTGGTTGTAGAAGAATTAGTCATTACCATAATCCCACATTGGTGATGATGTTACTCCATTATCTTGAGTAAGGTTTTGTCATTACACAGTATTTTTTATTCCGCTATGCTATTGAGAGGAGAAAAAAAACACACAGAGGAAAGTGGAATAATAGACAAAAGGGGATGTAGTTTTTTCTTTTTTTTTGTCGTTGGACTCTCTCTGTTTGCTTTCTCTCTAAAGTACCCATTTCAGATTCTCTATCAATTTTCTCTTTCTACGACACCCTTTCTCCCCCTCCATTTGAGAGAAAAGGTAGAACAATGAGGTCACCAGTTCACAAGGCTGTGAAAAATATTTGGTTGGTTATTAACTTTGGTAATTAATTGTAAAGTTGCTTTACCTCCATAGTTAAAATTAGATGTGTCCACAAGGCTTTTCACAGATGAAATGATTATATGCTTTTTTATGTATTAAATTAAATGTGCATGGTACTAGATTTGTGGGTTTTATTATTATTACTGATTGTACCTATGGTCCTCTCTCCCATATCAAGGAACCTTACCATGTAAAATCGAGGGCTATGAAGAATATGAATCAACTTACCATATAAAAGAGATTTAGAAATACGGTAGATATAAAACTGTGAATATAGTAACTTTCCTTAACTATTATTTATTGAAAAATGCTAGAGATCTTAAAAATTTTATCAAAATTTTCACCAAATATCTCACATGGATGTGAGACCTACACTATGTGAGTTCCACATCCATGTGAGACATTTGGTAGAAATTGTCACTATACCATTTTTAATAATAATATTAATTTAGCAAATTTATTGAAGTACTGATTTATATTATTGTGCAGTTTTTGCTGAAAATGAGATTATGGATAGCTTCAAGATTTAAGATTGGCTTTGTTGCTAAAATCCGTCAAATGGATTTGTTAATTTGTTTGAAATTTGGTGATGTTACTAAATTCACAATAATCTCCATGAATTTGAATTGTATTCTAACATCACAATAATCTCCATGAATTTAGAAATACATAATTGAAAAGTACTTTGTTGCTAAAATCCGTCAAATGGATTTGTTAATTTATTGCTTAGATGTCATTTCAGATGAGTCTTGTGAATGATTCTCCAGTACACTCGTCAAACAGCAAGGACTTTGCTGCATTTCTTGATGCAGAGTTGAATTCTATTTTTGACACATCACCTGACCTAGATGGCGAGGTCGAGGACAAGGACGATAATGAGGATGATTCTAAGCCCAATATTGAGAGGTACCAGTTGTTTCTTCCATTAGGTCTAAAGTTGTACCAGATAAAACTATTTTATTTTATTACTTTGTTGGGTCAAATTTTATGTGGTTCTAGCCATGGCTTAGGGTTGTGGTCTTAGACACAAGTCTCAGTTGTCATCAGAAGATTGATTTTCAGTATCTTGTTTGTGCTTGTTAAGACAAAATGTGCCACAAATAGGATTATACGAACAAAAGACAATAAAAAATCAAAAAGAAGAAGAATAGCATGGAGCAAAGAAATAGCAAAAACACAACACTTCAAAGGTGTAATATAGTCTGTAAGGTTTGAAACTCACAGACTATATTGTCTTGCTTTGATTTTTTTGAGGTAGTGATTTTTGTGCTCCTAATAGCTAATTGTGCCCATGATTGAATGATTTTGAATTTTTTATGCATAACAAAAGCGTGAGTCATTGTGAAGTCTCATCCTTTTTGTTTTATGAATTTGAATTTAAGGGCTTAGCTATGTACAAGTATTTACATTTTTAGAGATGTAATGAATTTGAATAATAAGTGACGTTTCCTTAGCTGGGTAGAATCTGATATGTGGTTTGATTTTCTATGAATTTCTTATCCTCATATTTTAGTATTATTATTATTTTTTTGCTGGTGATTTTCATATATTAAACCTGTTAGCATTTGTGCCTTCAAAAACCAATTTATTGACTTTATTAATTGATTATATAAATTGCTTGGCATTTTATATTTTCCATTTTGTATGTTATTATGGGTAATGTTATATTTAATGTTACATATGATGTGAACATAAGGTCCCTTGGGTAACATTGCAGAAAAACATGCTAATGGTTAATGAACCAAAAGCTGGGAGTTATGATTTTTTGGTGCCTTCTAGACCCAATTAATGTTCTAGGCTATGGGTGTTGATTGGGCGTCGCACTACTATGGCCTACACCTGTTTTGCTGCTATATGATAGAATGATTAACTCCATCATTGAGGTAGTGACCTTAAGCAAATAAGTGGGTGTTATGCAATAAGTATATGCACTGAACATGATTGGTTTTAAGAACACCTATGGAATGATCACTATCAGTTTAAAAGGTAGTTCTATTACAATACACTTATTTTCCTTTGACCTGAGAGGCTTGTATAAATTAATTAACTATTTATTTAACTTTGACATTGTCAATCGGTGACGCCGAATCAAAGGCTATACACGGACATGTTGGGTTGTGTGAGTGGTAATTAATTTATATAGGTGCTTAACATGGAATCCACCATTCTCAAAGTGAGAAAGTATATTCAAGCAATTTTTCCTATTAACATTGGACCAAAAGAAAACCGGCCGGTTACTTTTTCGTAAAAATATTTTATACATATATAATTGTAAAAATACTATTTTTGAAAATACTTTTAGGGTCCAATTAGAAGAAGGAAAAATTTAGAATTCGGTTACATGAGTTAGGGCTTTTGATAGTGATAAATTTGTCCATACCTAATAGCTCATGTGGAATATAGTTTGGTGGAAGGAAATTTGTGATTAATTGTAAGAAAGGGCCTCACTTGTAATTCTCTACTTTTAGAGGTTTAATTGTAATGTGTTGATGGACATTATTGCAATTAGTGGAAGTTCTATATTATCTGTTTAAAAGATAATTAATGAAAAATTGGATAAGTTGTATCTTGTATATTTAAAATAAAAGATACATCTTTTATTTTATCCCCACAACTAAAAGATAGAGATCCCTAAGGATCCCACCTACATGCAAACTCTATCATGTATTGTGTATATATATCAGATGTATTTGATACAAAAATTGGCCATCAGAATTTTTAAGGTCTGTAGAAAATATATACACAAAAATAAACCAGAAAAGGTGCAAGGTGAATCACTTTGGAGGTGAGACACTTGGATCGCTTGGTGAGGTATTATCAACAACTTACTTAGAGAAGGTATTTTAGATTGTGTAATCAGGTGGTGTTTCTTTGAAAAGCGTTTTTCAAAACAAATTATTTTTCCGCAAACTTTCATTGGTATCAGAGCCGGCCACTTTGATTGCATGAATCTATATTTTGTTTTCCATATTTGGATATTCAATGTTGTCTTGCGTAATAGTTGATTATATCATTTGTGAATATATAATCTATATTTTCTTTTATTAATCACAAAAGAAAAGGGACGGAAACAGTAAATAAATAAATAAATAAATAAATAAAAATAAAATAAAATAAAAAATAAAGAATGGTTTCGCAGTTTCAAATCAGTAGGCGAAATAAATAATCTGTTTGTATATATGTTAGGCACCTGTCACCGTTTAAAAAAAATTAAAAATTAAAAATTAAAAAAAAAAGAAAAAAAAAGGGGGTACCATTTAATCGGTGATGACGGTGCACCTCAGTTTTTGTGTTTATTAGGGATTGGCCTAAAAGGCATTCACATGGTATCATTATTTTATTTTTATTATCTATTTTTGCTTATTGTTTATGCATGTTCCATATTACAAAAATTATAGAAATATGCTTTGGGATTATGTAAATATTGTATACAACATGTTAAGTAGAACTTGTAGTATATTGTTATTTTAAATAACATGGTTAATTTATATTGATGAATTTTAATTCCATGATTAAATATTCTAACATGTTTTATTTTATGAATTACATTAAGATGTTATCATATAGAATTAATGTTTTATCATGCTTTAGACATGCCATAGTTAGTGGGAGGTTGTTCAGTTGATAAAAATCTTTGTAGATTTTCTCCTGAAAATTATTTTACTGTTGATGGCATATAACCATATTCATGATTATATATATATTTTTGTGGGTTTCATGTTACTTATGATAACATGAAAATTTAATTTGCTAATTTATGGAGATAAATTAGTTATAAATATTGTTGGTACCCCATTTTAATAATTAAGTGTTAAATAGGATTATTTTAAGAAAAATAATGCCTATGGCCTTCCATTGTTGGTAAATAAAAATTCTGATTAATTGAGATTCAAATGATACCAAAAGGGTCAGTTGGGTTTTAATTAATTAGTTTGTTTTTATTTATTTTGTAAAGAGTATAAGTGTGACTAGTGGGAGTGTCGGCTAAAATGAAGGCATAATCTTACATGTTCATGCTATGTATCTAGACAATGGTTTGCACTTAGACAAATACTATATGGTAACCAAAAGGTGTCATATGAGTTGATTTGGAGGCCAAAAGAAAAATTGGGAGTCATAAATAAATTAATTTTTCTAAAAGAAAAATAAAAAATGGTAACATGAGATGATATTATGATGGGTAGTAGCTACCCACCCATTCAAGGTGAGGGGGTAATTTTTGGTAAAAATTGGGCCGAGCTGCGAAATTGGACTTTATGGCCCAAAGTACGAAGACTGGATAAAAAAGCCCAATAGAAATGTAAGAGTTACTCCGGTTCGAGAATGATAAAGTTACTCCGATTCAGAAGAGATGTTGAGTTACTTCGGTCCGTGCAACTTCTCTAGTTAGCCCGGTCTCAGAGGCAGTCCGGTCATGATGTATTCTAGGTAGGTCGGTCAGAATGTTGCTACTCGGTAGATCGGTCCAAACACACCATGGTTCGTGCATGAGAGAACCGAAATATGGTGTAGCAAGAAGAAGAACTGAACTACTGTTAGTACGGCCTACTCTGTGGCTCGGTATAGCCAGGTTTATCTCGCTCGTATGGCAGTTCGGCCATGATGAAAACCATCCCACTTGGTTTAAGCAGTGGGGGGGGGGTGTAAAAGGATAAGCATTATCCTTAGGAGTATGAATCCTAGGAGGACTCTGCATGGAGGAATAAAAGTCCTACTAGGATTGTGCCACACGAAACTTATAAAAAGCTCATACCTTGGAGGAAGTAACATAACACAACATACAATTTTACTTCCTGATTACATTAAGCTTTGTCTATTTGTCAAGTTTTCTGACTTAGGCATCGGAGAGGTTTCCGGCACACACCCGCCGGCTAGCTCACGTTTGTGTTTTCAGGTGACAAAGCGACGTCGTACGGAGGAGCGTGGACTTGGTCAACAGGATTATAAG